ACATTTTAGTAATTGAAACAAAATGTATATTAAACGTTAAATGTACCAAAATGTTTGCCAGTTATTTCACACTTTGCGGAAGTCCACCCACCTTGATGGAAATGTGCAAGCGCGTTGAGTTATCGATTAGCCTTTGATTGTCTCTTTAATCGTAACGCACATACACCCGGACTTTTTCATAGACTAATTTTTGCCAAGGCAGGTAAAAGTTTCTTTGTTTGAGTGGGTTCATAGGTTTTGTAAGGACTTTTTCTGACATTGATCTGTAAATGTAGTGAGTAGCGAAGAAATTAATTTGTAGATGCAAAAGTTTAAATCCCTGCGCGTACCCTGCATACTGTATCTGTATACCACATCTCTTAATCGGTCTTTCAGCTAGTCTTTGTATTTAAATAAAAATACAATAAACTAAGCTTTTATATGCCTACTCGACTTCTCACATTTAATGTTAAGTGAAAGCGAAAGTTTGTTACTTGTTGTCTGACAGTCTGGCTGCCTCTACCACAATTTTACCCTTTCTATATATGCCATGGAATAGGCAGACACGCAGTGAATACAAAAGGGTTGCGCTTTTTATATTCCCAGTTCTTATATACCGATTTACTTGATTGCATTCTTTCCATGGATTTGTGGCAAAATTTGTTGAAGCAAACAATGTTAGAAAAGTGGGTGTTTTATTTAGAGTTGAGCGCATGAGTGCGAAAAGGCCACTGAGCCTGATTGAAATTGAGGCTGAGACCGGCTGCGAAGTGGGAACGCGACGAGGAAAGCCTATCAAAGTGAACTCGGCTGAGTTAACCCACTGTCGGTCTCGGATTGCGTCGGGGCGGGCTGGGCGGTTAAGGCGGAGAGGACACGCCCAAATGGTTTTTATTTCTTAGAAATAAGTAGCTGCCGCTGAGGCAACGATGTTGCCTTCCACTTTCATTTTGGTATACCAATTTATGCCTGTTTTCTCAACAATTGTTCTTGCTATTGTTCCCCTGATTAGCTTAATTTAAATTTAGCCTTTGATTTGCTAAGCGTGTCCTGCCGTGGCAACAGCATATTTTTACTATTGTACCATCATTTTGACTGAGAAACTGTATTTTATACCATGTTCTCATCAAAAATGGGTAAAAACCGTTTTATGCAATTATACAATATATATGTAACATTACATTCAGAAGGAGTCATGTTTTTATGTATATAAGCATATTTCTGCAATATATTTATGCACTTAAATCGGACGACAAGCCTAGAAATTTCCCATATCCACCTTGAGAATGGATATGCAACTATGCTATATAACTATGTAAATGGCTAAAACAGCATATATACTCTTTATCAGGACGATCATTATAGACATGTCTGTCCGAATCTAAAAGTTCGAAATATATATACTTTTCTATATTCACGTCATGAGCAAAGCGAATATGTCTATGTTCACAAAGTGGTTAGACTACTAAAAATTGCCGTCAAATAACGGCCAAAACCTTTAAGGCCAAAACCAACTTTGGCAGATAGACTACTTATAACCACATATCAATAAATCTAAGTAACTACCGTGTGCTTTGCGCTCACCAGAATGAAATAAATGGTTATTATCAAGAAGACTCTTTTCAACTGCTATTGGCTATCAGCTATTGTTACTTTATCAACATAGTAAGGCAGCTTGGACTCAACTTGTACAACATGTTTATAATATCTGAAAGCAATTTTTGCTGTGCCCTCAATCCATTGAAAACTGGTAGAAGGTAAATATTTTATTTTATTTTAGTTTATACCAACGTGCATTTAAAGATTTCATCAGTGTTTGTTTGTTGGTAAAAACTTTCCAAAAATGATCCCTAAATAAATATTACTAGCGCTAGAGTCAACAATTTTCGTAGGAAGGCTAGCCTTAACTATCTGTAAAGATAAAGTTTAAGTATTACGCTCTACATACTGCGATATTTAAATTTGTAAGTGCCAGCTTGAAATTCACTAATTTGTGGTAACAGAATGATTCACCAACTGTGGAAATTGAAATATTCTATTAAAAAATTCGTTTGGAATAAAGAGCCAAGTGTTGGAATGAACGTTATTCTTTGATCCCCATATTTCATCCAAGAGCAATGAACTTTGCGAAAGCGCAAATCAAATAAATTGTCGTTGAGATCGTAAATTGATATGAAACCGAAACAAAAAAGAAGCAAATGTTTCGCAAAATTTCCACAGTTGCGGGTGTAATTTCGGAAATCGCTGAAACACGTATTCATTCATTTTTATGCAGGGCTTTGAAAATAAATTCAAAGTAAATTTGCCGATCGGGCAAAGCTTTAAACTTCTCCCAAAGAGAGGCGAATTTCTTAAACAAAAGTTCCCCCAAAAACTCTTTAATTAAATCTTTTAAAGATCTTCGCAAATGAAACTTCGTCCATTCAAACTTTATCATCCAAAAAGAGTGGATTTTGCGAAGGGTGTGAAGCATATCTAAACCAATTTACAAAAGTTGCTGGTGGAGTTTTCAAAATCCTTGAAACACGTATTCATTGAGTTCTCTTGTAGGGATTTTAAAATAAATTTGAATCAAATCGGAAAAAACGTAAAGCTCCGGCCAGAAAGTCATTGACCACCGACCATCTGTTCTGTAAATACTGTAAATCAATAAAATTATGTTTCCCATAATTCCGCATTTAGGTATTGTAATTTTAAAACATAAAAGTAATTTGCATTCGATAAAACATGCATACCTATGCAGACATTTATACACATAAATACTAACCAGAAACACACTCAAAGCAGCACGCCATACAATAAAACGACGACTGCAATTATATTTAAAGAATATGAAGAACACACAATTGAAAGCAAGTGTGCACTTGCAAATCGCCAACAGCTGCTATATTCGTTAACATATCTAGAAACTTGGCGCAGTGAAAGTTATTGTTTATTCACTAAACGTGGTGGGTGGTTCAAAAGGGCATTTTTATTTATTTCAGGTGATATCCAAAATTTGGAATCTAATTGACAGACTGACATGGCTCGATCGATTCAACTATTCATGCACACAAGCGAATAGGTAGTACAGCCGGCTTCTTGGCTTTCACAGGGTATGACGATCTTTTTATATTATATATCGTCCCGATGTGCAAGTTGAAAACTGGGTATCAGTATATGTCGAGATAAACATTTACTTTGTAGCGTAGCAGCAAGCGGTCGATTAAAACCCAAAAGCAGAACTCAACTTCAAAGGCTTGCCAAGCTTAAACAAGCAAAGGGCAACTGCAAACCTACCATGAAGTTTGCCCGTTTCTGAGCAATACCAATGTCTCCTTCCCCCGGCCAGCAGTCAATTGTGTTGCACGAAAGGGTTCAAATTATTGGTTGACGCCGTCAACCTCATTTGAATGAATAGCGAAAAGCAACAGCCGCAAGAGCATGAGGAACGAGGAAGGAAGCAAGGATAACATCAGCACAGACACCACCGACTGATTTTGCGATTTGTACGAGTACTCGCGTTGTCGTCACTTCCTTTAACCGTCCCACACACACACACACACACACACACACACTCTCATACAGCCAGGGACGTGCGTGAGTTTAATAGGCGCAGGCATCCTTCTAATGCTAATACGAAAATGCAGGCAATTGGAAAATTTATTCAATTGTTGGCAATTCAACTAAATCCCTCATTGGCTTTTTGTGCTCTTAATTTAAATATGTATGTCCTTCTGAGTAAATTTAGCATACGGACTCTGCTCAGCAGTTTGTATGTGTGACACTCCTTCAACCACCCATTTCATTAGTTTATCGTATTCCACAATATCATCATCCCATTCAAAACATCACTGCAAACCATTTTAGTGGAAATAATTTGAAAATTTGAATTACTCTGTCTTTTTTTGGCTTGATTAAAGGCATATTGTCAGACCAAGGCGATGAGTTAGAAACTGACCTTAGTCCCTGTCGGAAATTCTATGTTCTCTTTCCTTTACCTTACCCTATTTTTTTTTTAACGTAGACTATAATATTTTCATTGCCATACATTTCTCATAGCTTTGAGAAGAATGAAGATGCACATACGCAGCGTTAACTCGACCTATGGAAAATAGGTTAAAATATGAACGCGTCGATCTTTAAAAAGACTTGAAATATTCAACGTAGTTCCTGTAATGCCCGCGAATCATATTTATACCCTGAACCCATTAAAAATTGGTATAAGGGTATATTGTATTTGTGTAATATCGAAATGTATTTAACAGGCAGTAGGAACTATCTCCGACCCCATAAAGTATATATATTCTTGATCAGCATCAATAGCCGAGTCGATGTCCCAGTCGGGAACTCCTAACTTTCTCTAACTTGTGAATTATTGTGAATTATTACTTGAATTATTTTAATTGTCACCCTCATATCCGACAAAAGCGAATGAAAATAAAATATCCATTGGAACCACACAACAATATAATACAGATCTGTTGAGAAACACTAAAGCTATTAATAGAAACGTTGGCCAGTCATGTAGGATCCCGAATATGAATATCAGGTGGCTTATGCAGGTACTTATGCTACTTATAGATACATTTATGCAAAACCCACAAAGTCATGTGCGGTTGATTGCGCAAAAAATGTGTCAGTAGCGCTTCTGCCATACTATTAGAAATTGAATATTGCCTTTTCTCTAAACTTCTTAATGGTAATAAAATCAACTTTTGAAAAGTATCCAAAGGCTTAGTTCATTCTTCCGGAGTCGAACTCGCAAGGAAGCGACCCCGCTACTAGCCGCCTTATACTCCACAGTCATATCAATAGATAATCCATCCAAGAACTTATTTTTAAGGCACAATATAAAAACTAAATGAAAACGTCTTTCAGCTATATTTGGCTGCTAAATTGCAACTTTCCCGTTTACAATACGTTCGGCAGATCTTCGTGGCAATTGGTTTTACATGTTTTCACGAATTCCACTGGCCTTGGATGGTAGGCGGACTGATCATTAAATGTCCGAATGTTTATTTTTCTACTTCAAGATTTTCACCGTAAGACTAACATAGACGGAGGCCGTCAATAGCTCAAGCTATTAGATATTTATAAGATGGACTTCAAACTCATTTGCACATAAAAATCCACTTTTGACGGTAAGTTTGAAATAGTATTCGTAGATTTAAATTTTCTAGTGTTGAGAATTGTTAAGTTATATAATTTAACATTTGAAGCATAAAACTTATTTCGTTACATTCTCCTTCTGCAAGTCTTATAATCGTTTTGTGCAATTTCATGTAACAGTCGGATAAAATCGTCCCCATAATTCATATTGAATTTTTAATTGTTCATATGCTTGGTCAGACAGAGATAGACTTGATATTTTGAACGTTTGCAAAGATAATCAACCCAAACCCAATTCAAATTTAACACCGGGTAACACAAAATTGAATTCTATTGCCATAGAGTATTTTGACTGCGATTTGTTGCGACAGCAGCGTCGAGAGCTGCTGCTTCTCAGTAATTATAGCAGTATGAACATAAAGCATCAAGCGCGAATTGAAATGCATTCAAGTAATATTCGGTACATGCACTTTAAGATTACCATCAATCTGTGCAAAAATCATTTATTTGTGTATACACGCATACATAGAAATGTACATAGGACATAGTTTATAAATATTTCTCCATTGAAATGAAGCAAATACTTATATTGGCATTTCAGACGGAAACACCACTTTCCGGCAGGTGTTGTATGGTGTTCGATTCGCTGTGAAATTTGAGAGCTGCCTGGTCGCTAATCAATGCGATGCGATGCTAGGTGACTGGGTGATTGCCAGCGATAAGGGATCACATAAGTGTATTCTCGTCTCGACGACATACATATATCAATCCACATGGAGTTGGGTAATAAACTACAACTCTGTCTGACACAATTGTGCGCAATGTGTTTTCTTGAGTACCAGAACTCATCCAACATTCTCACCCACGTGACAGGATATGTCAAGGATATCCGTTGCGAATATGTATAAAATATTTGAGCGCATGAGCGTGTTTAATTTTTCCGCTTCCCACAATGATAAATGCGTTTCTGCCAGCTTAGAACGGTGGTGCCCTCAACTAGACCAAGTTTGTCACAAAGAACGTCCTTTTTTCCATGACGCCATCCTTACAGGAACCCACAAAAAAAGGTCAAAAATTAACAATGAAACTTAAGCAAGTGTGGAGTAGACCAGTTTAATACTTTACACACAACGGGTATACGACTATATAGGTTTTATGATATGTCCGTCTTGCAGTCAGTCCATATATGTTAGCCTCTGTTGAACTTGGAGACTTCAAGTATAGTTGAAAGTTTAGTTAGTGTTAAATATTATTGGCCACATCCATTACTGCGCGTATATGAGCTACATTAAAAAAGATATTCCTTACCTAGCAATTGTTTTTTGCATAAATAAAAGTGCTGGACAATAATTAGCCCACGAAAGGTAAATGCCTAAAAAAAAATTTCATTAAGAGCAAAGCAAAGTAAAAATGATCCTAAAATAAGACTAATCGGCTTTTGTATGAAATGTAAATGATTGGCGGTGGCACGAGGTAAGAGATCAAATAAAGTGAATTGGCATGTGCTCTCTCTCCCTGTCTCTCTCTCACATTGTTTTGGATTCTCTTGGTGCAGCCGACGCGTGTCCCTTCGGTTTGTGATTTCAATTGTTGCGTGTTAAATAAAAGGCCAAAAGCATTAATGAACTTCATCGAGCCAAAGACAACGTCAGCTGCTAATTTATTTTAGTTTTCATAAGTGCATACTTAAAAATGTATACTTAAAAAATTATATGTATATTCAAACTAAAGGTCTATTTAAGATATGATAGATAGTTGAAAATAAGTCTAAAATCCAACATATAAATAACCAAAGTTTGAATCAACGATTTCCGTCTATGTCAGTCTTATGGTGAGAATCTTGAAGTCTAACAATAAAGTTTCATTAATTAAACTTTTGACCCTCATTTTTCATCCAAGAGCGGTGGATCTGACCAAAAAAAGGTATCAACAACGTTTTCACAAAGATCTTTGAAAATGAAAAAATTGAAAAAGCGAAACAGAAAACTGCTCCCAAAAAATCTTTGAATCGAAAATCGAATCGGAAAATAATCTTTAACCGGTTTATACCAAGAATGAATATATTTCCCTAAAATTGTGAAACACAGTTCAAACGAATTTTCAAAGATCGTTAAAGCTAGTTTTGACGATGTTGTTCATGCAATCGTTTTTCGCTACTTTTCCACATTTGAGGGTGAAATTTTCCAAGACTCCATCACACAAGGTTAAGGCTTGGGCTACGTTGATCACAGTTATATACATGGACTGAAAAGTACATTTTTTGCCGATCGAACGAAGCTTGAGACCACCCCAAAAATTCGTTGACTCGCATTTTCTATGGAGGTTTGCGAACGAGCTTACAACCGAAACTTCGCTTGTGGCGAAACGAAAGATTATAAATATAGTATATAGGCTATTTCAGAAGTTACATTGGTGACTTGTGCTTAAAACCTAAGATTTCGACTAAGATTTTTTTCGATTACTTGGAAACGGGAAAAGTTATCGTTTAACGAAAACTAGGTCACCAGATGGACTTACGTTCAAAAATACATTTCAAGCTCCTAGCTCCTATAGGTTCTGAGATCTTTGATTCTTTGCCGATTTTCGTAAAAGTTTCTGTAGCAGATATAACTGTTAAATGTGCATACTTCTAACTAAACACAAGCCTTAAAATGGTGGCCTAAAGCTGTTTTTGTGGTACAATTTGGATTTCTTATTCACTTGATTATTGTTTTTAAGAGCAAGGATATGTTCGAAAATCAAGATATCCAGATCGAAGTTTATGGATTACTTAAAAACGAAGCAAGTTATTGATGATTTCTACGCGGCCACTCCAGCCGCAGATACGCATTTTGTCCCGTAATGTACCCGGTTATATGTACGCAATGGGTCCTAGTCCTGATGCCGCTAGCTATTTTTCCCATGTTTAAGGGCGCAGGCATTTTTATGCATTTTTTATGTATATATTGCGCAGATGAATTTATTGTAACGATGTACGACAAGTTCATAAAAATGCAAACCAGCTTATTGATAAAAAAAAATGTTTGCATTCACCCCATTACGCACACCCCGCTCGATTCACGACACCCCACTTTAGCAGTGATTTATGCAGCCAGCACTTATTTTTTGTTGTTGTTATTGTTGCTGTCATGTTTGCATTTTGGCGCCAAGTTTTGGTCATTGCTGGTTATCGCGCACGCCGCTGACCGGGCGGCATCCATTTCCGTTTCCGTTGCCTTTTTTGTCTGGCTTCTCATTTATTGTTGCTGCCATTGTTGCTGAGCATATAAAAAAGTTTATGTAAATTTAGTGCCAGGCATTTTTTGTAATGAATTGACGATTGTTCTGTATGCCAACATACAAGTAGTTTGTTTGTTTTTATTCGAGTGCTGAAGTGTTGTTTTCGAGTGTCTGCATATGCAAGTAAACACAAGTAAGAGTGCTGTATGTGGGAGTGCCCGACTAGATGATACCTCACTCCTCCTTCACACTACATACTCGCTTACCTATAATAACCTTACAGCAGAGCAGAGCAAATTATACAATCGTAATTGCAATTTTCTTTACGGAATTCGACAAAAGACTCGCATATGAACAATGTGCACAGGAGTTCGTGTGCTTTTCACTAGCAACCACGTGACTTACGAACTTTACCTTTTTTGTTTCTTGTCTGACCTTAATGAAATTTTCTGCAGTACAACTTATTGTGGCAGAGAATATTACTATTCGCGAAGTTACAGGTAAAAGTGGTTGACCCTAGCCCTTTGATCATTAGCGATATGCTTATTCGATGTCGAATTTAATCAATTGCTTGGAAACGGGGCTGAAACAACAAACTTGTACAGCTCAGGCAATAGAATCACGTTGATTCCAATCTTCAAGTAACTGGCTTTTAAAGATTCATAGATCAACGCGTTCATACATACGGACAGACAAATGAACTTCACAAGTTCGACTTGCGTATTAATGCTGACCAAGAATATATATATATACTTTATGGGGTCGGACAACCCATCCGCCTCATTTGTGTAGCTGCACATTGTTAGTTGTGAATACCTTGCACTTGTGGCCCAACTTTGTAGTACTTTACGATAGCAAAAAACAAAGCTGTTTTTACCCTCTTTTGGTTTTAGTTTTAGTTTTCTCAATTTTGTCAAAATTTACAAGGCGTTACAGATTTGTAAAAAATATTTAATCATGTGTACAAAAATAGAGCTGTCGCTCACCCTTTCGACACCTATGGTCCATTACTATCTTGAAGGCACAATATCTGACGTGCACACACTTTGTATTTGTAAGTGTTTCGGCAATAAATTTAACCATGTACAACTTCAATGTTGCTGTCGTGTCCGTGGCTGAAGTTTTGTTGCATGCATAAATCAAAATTTTGATTTATAATAATTGCAAAAACACACACGCACACACACACACAGTCACAAAATGCTTTGAATTGTCGACCAAATATCAACTGGTATTGGGAAGAAAGTTCGATGTTGTATGGAAAAAGAGATGTGGGATCCCAAAAGCTATTCTCGTAATTACACGTCAGACTTTCCAGACTTATTCGAGACTAGATAATAATATTCTGCAAATGTACATTGCACTAGGAGATACCCTGTACCCTGTTCGCTGCAATCTATCACATATGTCACATATGTGGTGCATGCGGACAAATGGATGTACATACGGGCATGGCTAGATCGTCTCGGCTGAGTATGGGTTCGCAGATGCATTCTCCTGCCTGTTTTAAATATTTGCACAAAATATTCTGTTTTCGTATTTACAATAAGTTCATGAAATAAAATGAATAGGATAAGCGAGAGGTATCACAATTTGCTTGAATGCCAATTGATGGTAAGGTATAACATTTTCAAATCAGACATTATTTACCCGGGATATTAAAAAAAAATCATTGAAAAGTTTCGATTTTCGCACCGACCTCGATTTTGAAAAAAATCGTGATGATTTAGGAGGTAATATCTCCTCGTGGAGCTATGTCGTTTTGGAACGTCATATCTCCTCGTGGAGCTATGTCGTTTTGGAACGTCATATC